TCTTCCTACTATTTTATTGATAATTAATTTTGATAAAAATGGAAACAGAAATTATTCGTTTCGAAACTAATGAATAAAAAAATGCAAAATATAAAACGTAAAGTAAACGCGACTGTGTACACTTTGTACAAAAGGTCCTAGAATTTGATTCTTATGTTTCCCTGTCAGTACGCCGCTCTACCTCGTATGGTGCGGGAGTATGTAGGTATAGTAACATCCTAGCAGAATCAAACATTTGTTTCTTCTAGTGCTAACACTTTTGATGTCATAACAATAAATTGACAAAATGTGGAAATTTATAACTCGTGGTATTCGTGAAACTTTGGAACGCCGTGTATGTCGTACAAATGTTTATTCGCAAACATTTCAAGATCCCAATCCAAAAAATGAGGTTAAGGCCAGCTTGACGTGTAACTACAAATTTTTGGTACCGAGTTTTTCGGTTTTCAATAAACACTTCTGTGGATCAACAAAAACTGATGGTGCAGAGGACAAGGAACATGATTCCAAGTGGAATACAAAACATTCTTGGTCAGAAGCTATAAAATTGGTAAATTGCGCTGTTTTGTTTATCTTTCTTATCTATGATCTTTTTATCTGATGTTATTATTTAAGATGCAAAGGTTATAAAAATCCAAATGTTATTTTAAGAGTTTGATTTAAATATATTTCATATTTCTATTCATGTAAACAGATGTACCTGAATTTATAAATTTTCACTAAAATTATCTTTAAAGTTACAAATTTAAAAATACTTTTGCAAATATAGTTTTATCATGTAACTTATAATGTTTATATTAGTAACACTAATTATATTTTTCAAATAATTAATGTAGGTTTAATTTTTTAATAGACCACTTGGATGGCACTTGGATGGGTGGTATGTGAAACATTATGTCTTGGCAGAAGAATCTCTGAAAAGGAAAAACGTGATTCCTTAAAAAATAAACGAATACAAGTTTCAGAAGCATGTATTTCTGACCTAATTGGTCAAGTATTAAATTTAAGGCCAAAACATATTCTACCTATTATTAATTGTGTTGGCAGTAGTAAGATATATGCTCAAGAAAATACAGAAGCTGAATGGAAACCTGATAAACCATTTGGACCAATCACCATTGAAGAGGTGAGAATGTTGTTCTGTAGACATTACAATTCATGAAAAAGAGATTATAATATCTAGCAAATAACATATTTTGTAATAAAAAAAAAAATTCGCACTCTGTAATTAGTGATTTTTATTTAACATAAATTTGTCATATAACTAATCTGTAGAATCATAAATATGCTATCTTCAAATTTCATAATGAAAAAGAATGATTTCTATTCCATTGAATTGTACCTTACAGTTTTGTCTTTTTCTAATATCAATTTCATAATTGTAATTCATGTTTCAATAAATAATTCTGCAATGTTAGGCATTTCATTGTAAATTATTGTTCTACAATATATTATGTAAAATTATAAAGAAAAACATGTTTGAATATTTTTTATTTTATCTCCTTCCCAATATAAATATTTTTTCATTTATTCAGTTACTAAAATTGTATTATAAAAATAAACAAATGATTGTAAATATTGTACTGTGACAGTGGTATTCATTTTTAATCATTTTTTTTTACTATAATTGTATGCACAAGATTGTATATATGTGAAGTATTTTAACCAATTGAAAACTAACTGAGGGATCAATTATTTTTAATTGAATTATAAAAGTGTGTAAAATGAAAGGTGATGGTTTAAAAATATTTTCAATTTGAAGAACTGTAAAATAAAGATTATTAATATTATTTGATTTAATATTTATATTTTTACATATTCTTAGGCCTTGAAGGAAGCCACTGAAGAATTTGCTAATATTCATAAATTAGCTACAGCTGAATTTGAACTTCATTATGGTTTGAAAGCTTTAGAAGAAAGACGTTACAAGGATGCTATAAAACATTTTACTGCTGGTGCAAAACTATCATCTGCTGTTAGTATGTTCAATTTAGGTTTGTGTCACGAATTAGGCCTTGGAACATTGGTTGATCATGCAAAGGTATGATAGTATTTCAATGGTATACACAATTTCATTTAAGAATTAAATTATATTTCATAATGAATAAAAAATGTTTATTTCCTTAGGCTGCAAAATATTATAGTGATGCAGCAGAGCAAGATCATGCAGATGCTATATATAACTTAGGAGTTTTTTATGCTCAAGGCATAGGTGGTTTCACAGTAGATCTTGATAGGGCTCGTAACTATTTTATTAAAGCAGCAAAGTTAGGGCAAAGACAAGCACAACATGCGTTAGATTTAGAGAAAAACTATTATCAGTCTAAGAAAAAAGAACATGACATGATGCTTTCAAATAAGCATGAAAATATCAAAAAATGTATGCAAACAAATGAACATGTGAATCATATTCTTAAGAAACTGATTAATTACAATAGTGCGTTATATACACAGTCACAAGTAGAATTTTCTGAAAATTCTAATCATAAGCAAGCTACAATAGGATCTAGTGATGCAACACAGCTGTTTTTAGATATGTTTGGGTTAAACGAGCCAAATATATTACCTGTTCCTGTGGAATCAAGTAATTGTAGTGTGCCATGTTAAAGAGCAGCAGAATCGTTGAAAATGAAAATACGATATTTGTCGTATATATAGAAATCCTTATACAAAGGAATTTTTTATAGCATTAATGTCAATTATGTTACAATGAATTATGAAGTTTAAAAGTAAAAAAGAAAACTACAATTCGTATTCGTATTTCGTATATGACAGGATATATTTAAAGTATACAGTATTTTTACAAAAAATATTTATTTAACGTAATATTCTTTTAAAGAATCACTTTCATACATAATCATAAAATACAATTGTGATGTTAATATACCATAATAGATATAAAAGTATCTTGTTTTCGCAATCAATGAAGATCTTTCCCTCATTTGTATATGTTCATATAAATTCATGTCATTTCCACAAATAAATTTTTTCTGATTTTCATTTAATATTTTTAAAAGAATATTTATTTTGGTGCAAAAGTATAGAAACTTTATTGGTAATTTAAATTTTATACAATTTCAACATTAGTTAAACTGTTATCTGTGATGAATACAAAGATTCTGTATATATACTTATCATAGAATAGATTAATGCCATTTTATGTAACATAGACGTGGTTGATGTAACAAATGAAGTATGTTGTATGTTTGTTAAAATCACATTAATCATTTTTTTTATGACTATTTTATTTTTTTCATATTTTTTTTTGTGCGCATAAGCATTTTTCATTATTCTTTTATAAAAATCGATAAAAAGAATAAAACCTTGTTAAATAAGTATTTGTGTTTTATTTATTAGAAGCTTTAAATTCACCAGTGTGCATCATGCTTTTGTATTGTTTTTTTTATAAATTCACTGTGATTGGCATATAAATTCAAACTTTTATCAATGTCCATCCATTTCACATTTCGCGCATCGTCTCCAGCTACTAGCGTTATTTTCCCAACAATACTATTATCATAATCGTGGAAATTCAAGGCTACAGTTTCCATCCAAGCGTTATCTGTATTTCTAGGATCGTCCACATATCCTTTATAAATTTCTTCCCCATTTTCAAAAAAATCTCTAACAGATTTTTCTAACTTTTCTCTCTCTTCTTTACTTTTTTCTAGAGAATTCATAGCTTCCTCCATGAACTCCCTTTTTAAAGTCGTTGAGACTGTTTCACCTGGGTCGACCATTCCACCGGGAATGGCCCATTCGCCGGAATCTCGTCTTTGTATCGTAACAAATTGTAGAATTGGTTTTTTCGTGTCTTTGTTTATTTCTGGGGCTCCTCCAGCATTTCGTTTCCAACGAGTTACAATTGGATCTGCCGCGTGATTTGGTCCCCATCTTCCTAACAGACCACGTCCGATAATACCGGTGCGACCGATAGGATTTAAAGGATAGCCATCCTTGTTTAGAACGTAGTTACCCGTAAAACTCTTACGATTCACCTTTCCTGTTAGCAATAAATTTATGTGTACCCAAAAGTATCACAATATGCGATATAAAATTCGAACGATCAATATTATGGTTGATTGAAGTAGTAGTTCTATTTCATTTAAATTTGTGTATGATGAAATATTATAGTTTATCACGTAATAATGTTACGTAAAGAATTAGTATTTTCGTGAAAATATAGAAAAACCAATAAACAAATTGATTTCATGTAACCCATATAAATTAATTTATGAAGATTAATTATAAAAATCGTAAACATGTGATGCTTGAAATGCGTTACTATAATTTGTTAAGTGGAAATTGTAAGTATAAAGTATTTTGATACAAATCGATGACAGTTAATTCTAGTACTGTGTAAATAACATGATATTTATTATCATAATGATAGTAATCATAAATTTCCAAGCATAATAAACTTAGCAGTTTTATGCATCGCAATTTTTAAGATGTATGAAGTTAGAATATATTGTTTGTAAAGTAAATAACATTAAGATATTAATAAATTACAATGTTTTATAATCCTTTTTTAAACAATAAAAATCTTAAATTAATACTAAATTTCGAACTTTGCAAAATTGTAGATACTGCAGGTTAGGTGTTCTCAAAATTAATAAGTTAAGCGTGAAGTAATATTTTAAATATAATTGCTTACCGTCAATAGAGTTCCAATTTGGTTTAAATGAAACTTCGCTAATTTCCGGATCCGCCCATGGTTTTCCTTTAAGAACTGGTGCTGTATATTCAACTGGTTTATATTCTGCATATTCAATATTCCATGAAACTTTATTTTCAGGTACATCAAAGCGATTCACGTTACTGGATGGATAGAATCCTTGTCTACATTTATAATGAATCATTCTGGTAAATGCACTCTGCATGAATATATGCTAAAATTGTTTTCAAGTAACAGACAAAATGTAATCAGGTGTGCTGACTATTGACTAAGCGCTTCCTTTACTTTACAAAATGAAAAAAAAATAGTAGATAAAGTAACTACATTATTTTTCATACATTGGTAAAAAGGCTAGCATTATCGGTGATGCAGTATTTTTGAAAATAAAGATTAAAGATCAGCGACTTCGAAATTTATAAAAATTGTTGGAAGATTTGTTCTCGGGGGAATCAATATTAGTTCGAATTTTAACCACTACTAGTGCCGTAATCTCATTTCATGCTGAATCGATAACGTTGAAAGTGACACGAAAGTGGTAAGAAGATTTGGAGGATGAGAACCAAAAATTTATTGCATGTGGATCTGCTCTGTATGTGTGTGTTAAGGCGTATATATTTGTTTATAATTATATGTCATATTTCAGTTTTAATAAGTTCATAACTTTTATATGAATAAAGAAGAGATAAATATTTTATACTGCTTTATATTTTAGTTATTATTTTGATTATATTTAGTATTTTTGTGACAGAATGGGAGATATTTTAAAATAGTAACAACAATTAAAATGTTCGCGAATACGTATTTTCATTTTATTATACAAGACATGTACTTCTAAAATACTCAGGTATTCATACACTCGTTAATAAGGTGAACAGTTTATTAATAAAGAGCATTTTGATACCTTTTGTAAATATATCCAAAAATACCATACACACAGTACATAATACAATTTATAATTTACTTTAATTTAATAATATAATGTTCAGTAAAATTTATCCAATCATACGATATATGTAGTGACAATCGAATTAAATGTATCATAATAATTGTGATAGTCAATCATATACAAAATAAGATCAAACATTTGTAAAATATTTCTATCAATCGCGACTTTCTTATATGTAATTATATACATATATGTAGTTGTGTTATAAAATTGTATGCAATATTTAACTGTACACTAACTACAGATATTCCTCGACCTAAAGTTTAGGTATTTGTTACTGAATTTAAATATTTTGAACACATTTTAGCATATAAATTTATAGTATTTGGAAAAGCTTGTTTATTTTTTTTAAGTTTCTTACATTTTCCAAATATTGATCAAGATATACGTATATTCATACAATATTATGTATTCAGACTTATTCATTAAAAATTACTTTCTGTAGATTTCCATCTAAATTACCATCGGTATATGTCGGGGAATACTCATAATCCGTGTATTAAAAATGGGTATGTATATACCTACAATTTGAGTTTGTTATTGTGCTAGTGAAAATTAGTATGACATGTATTTAAAAACAACTTTGTTATTTAATAAGAAACACATTAGAAATTCTACAATCATTTCTAGGATTGAAAGATCATTACATAGATATCAGAGTCATGAAAAATCATGTATGCATGTTATAAAAATTCCTTTGGGCATACAAAGATACATAAACAGTTTTATTCCACATAATCCTTGGTATTACACAATATTTATTAAGATATTTTTTAAAAGTGTATAAGTGTAAAATGTAAAATGTATAATGTAAAATGTAAAATGGGACATATTTACAGTTTCTTAGGGACTTGAACTCTGGATCATACCAGAACACACGTTGGGCTACTGTTGGAGACTTTTTCTCAAACATTGGGACACTAGTAGCTTGTTACTCTTGAAAGTATCTATGTTGGAAGACTAGATTAAAAACGTCTACAAAATTTAACAGTAAATTCTACAAAATTTATTCCTCTCTTTTTAATAGAATCAAGTCGTGATCAGCCTGCACTCGAATGAGTAATACTTTAATTTGATGTACCATGTACCATTAATGCCCTGATTTATGAATACTATATTGGCACAAATATAATCAAAGTCTTAGCTTTCCATTATCAATTCCCAATTTCTTCATCGAACTATGTGAATCAATTTATCGTCTTCTATCATTATTATCATTGTTCAATTTAAGTTACCAGCTTTTAAGCTAAAATGTTCACCATCATTGACAATAATATGTATCACTGATCCCAATATTCACTTTTTCTTATGGTTAATGCTATTTGCTTTAATTTTAATGCATGTACAGCTGCCTATGTAAGTAATGTAGCACCAATGTAACCATCAATTCCTTTCTTTGTAAAATCCAAGAGATTCTCGTGTCTTTGATATGCAAGTCAAATCCAACTCCAAAGTGTAGGCGGTTGTAGTTCGACTCGTGACAAACCTTGTCTTCAAACGATCACGAAGCTCGTTTTCTGAACCTGCAGGCTACAAGCGAGGAATCACGCTATCGCGATCCTCAAGAATAAAATGAATCTCGACCAGAAACGTGAGAAAGGTCGGCTTATCAGATACCGTGATCAAATTCGTGATATCCTTCGGCGCCAGTGAATACAACATCCACCCAAACTCTCATAGCCTCTGGACTCGGTGCCATTAAGTGATACAGTCTAGATGACGTTTTGATGATGAAAGTCAACGATGGCTGTGGCGATCGCACGGTGTTCATGTGGTCCACGTAAACCTCCTCAATAGACTATGCATAGAAAAATATTTTATGTTAGTTGAGGACCGAAAATCGTTTTTTTTTATTACAAAAACGATACTAAATAATTTTATAATACGATACAATAATTTTTTGTCTGTAGAACAGCAACATAATTTCTTTGTAGAACAGCTAATATTAAAATAAAAAAAGATAAATTTATCGTTCCTTTATTTTCGTATAATTAAATAAAAAAAAATCATTCTTTCATTGAGGAGTACAGAAATTCTATATTTCTCACAAACATTATTACATGTTACGAACACACTAATTATATGGATTTAATGACGTTTCGAACACTCTTCAAACTAAGTAATAAGTACTTCTTGTTTTAACTCTAATAATAGCCTGTCCCATAATTCTACTATTTCAAATAGAAACCGGTTTCACGTATCATTACCTCTGGTTCTACGTCTACAGCTTAGAAACTGTATCTCGTAATAAAGTATGGAATTATTCTGAATTGATAAGAAACGAGTCAGTGTTACAATTTGTTATTATTTTTAGTGTTTCTTGTTTTAAAATATAAAATACGAAGTTTTGCAACACCCATCTAAATCTACGACACTTTTTATATCTCTTTCGGTGTTTAATACTTTCGCTACCACGGACGCAACGTATGCGGTCTCTTGTGTGCCAGCGTCGACAGTGTGTCGGTCGGTCAAATAAAGTTTTCGCAATTTTTTTCAAATTTCCGTAGCAAAGCACGTGATAGGTGTTTTACACGTTCGCTGCCACGGACGCAACGTATGCGGTCCGAAATGCGGTACCTTGTGTGCCAGCGTCGACGGTGCGTCGACAGTGTGTATCGAACTGTGAATCATATTTTCGATTTCAGGTGGCAGCGAAAATGTGAACTTTTCATAAATAAAATAAACTTGATAAATTTTATCTGACGATGTTTTAGCCGCACTTCGTACTTTTGTGGCGGTACAGATATTTCATGTGAAATACAATATTTAAATACACTTTTTGATTATTTTACATACCTGAAAATAAATCACTCCGCGCGCCTTTCTAGACGAGCTGTCGCTGTAATACGATAAAGTCTTTCTCTTCCGGTCGAAGACGAACCACCGTTTGTTCCAATGATGGAACTTCTTGCTCATCTTCGACAAGTAACCACTGCAACTGGTCGTATCGACCGTGACATCGTGTATCAGGGGTAACTGATGCCCGGCCGTTTCGATGTGATGCCTCAGGTCCAGGGACTCTGACTTGATGGGGAGGTATCTCGTGAGCGGCCTCTGCGAACCGTTCATAAATCATTGAATTTACAAGCTGTGAAAGCAACACTGTCAGGTTTAAACGGTTTAATACTGTTAGGCCAACACGTCCACGGAGAATGTCGTGTTAATAGAATTGGAGAAATTGCGAATGGGAAACATGTTGACACGAGAGAGAGAGAGAGAGAGAGAGAGAGAACAGTTTTTAAAGTGTGTTTCGAGTGCCGGTGTGAGGATTCCTTTTCTTTCTTTTTTTTTTTCAAATGGCTAATCGCCTAAACGGAAGAGTTGGAAGGCTGGTGTGGTAATGGTAGGTCGCTTGATTTTCGTGGAATTTAAGCATCGTCTCTAGAGAGAAGCCAATTCTTTTTGAGATTAAATATGTAACAAGAGCTCTTCGCGTTAGAAGTGGTCTGTGTAATAGTCGACAGCTGCCTGTCTCACGCAGTGAAAGCTCTCTAGGATATTAGGGAAAATGTATTGGGTTCTTGAGAGTTGGATTGATTAACGAGTATCTGAATTCATGTTGATTTTTTTTTTTTTTTTCAGTGATAGAAAATGTTAGTTTGAAAGAAGTATATATTTGACAGTTTATTGGATATGATAGAGAAGTATATATTTAGTAGCTTATCAGGCACAATATAGAAGTATATATTTAATAGTTTCTTAGATATGATAAAGAAGTATATTTGGCAGAATATCAGACACGACAAAAAAGTATATATGGCAATTTATTAGATATGATAAAGAAGCATAGATTTAGTAGTTTCTTAGATATGATAAAGAAGTATATTTGGCAGTTTATCAGATGTGATAAAGAAGTACATATTTAGTAGTTTCTTAGATATGATAAGGAAGTATATTTGGCAGTTAGTTTATCAGATATGATGAAGAAGTATAGATTTAGCAGTTTGTCGGATATATGTCTAATTAATAATATTAACGAGAATATGTTATAGCATGAAATAATTTTGTTTAGTTGATATTCATAGGCTTAACACTGTGAGTGTCAATATTCACTGAAATATCGCTTCCATAATGGCTCCTGTCCATTATTATCTTCATAGCTACCGTCAATTGGAAAATTCAATGGCACACTTTTAATGACCCCGACGCGTCATTTATGATCAATGACGTATATAGTCTACTTTGAACCTTTTTACTCATCGACATCGTTAATACTTGACAGATGCGTAGCGTATGAATAACTGGTTATAAATATACTATCGTATCGTTTTGCGAAGAAAAATTTCCATACCTTAATATTATCCCACATTTAATTAAGATAATAAATCCGCTATAATAGAAATACTTTTTTTCTTCTTAAAAATATGAACAGCGACGGGGGTAAATTTTGGAGAAAATTGTTTTTCGAAAATTTTTCTACCGTAAAAAAAGTTACGTTTCTTGTAAATATTCGCGATAATATGAAAATTCAATTTTTTTTACTGACTGTTCTCACTCTCAGGAACGTTTCATTGCCGAAACTAAAAATTACTTCGTTATTAGCGTCAATTGAACTGCATTTCTGCAGAGTTTCAAATTTTTTCGAATTTTCGGATTACCGAACTTTAGTTCTTAGATATGCGAAATTTTCGCGTAACACAAATTTGAAAAAGTATCACTTTTTCTTGTGTGAAATAAAAAATATAAATATTACAATATTACAAATAATATTAAATTAAAAACCAAAAAAAAAAAATATTAACGAACCTGCAGTTTTGCCTTTTCACGATGTTTGACCGGTTGCAGTGGTCCAAGGGTGTCCATTTCGCTGGAAGTTTGTGAAAGAGGGCGACTTCCGTTTCCGTCGATTATTCCCCCGCTATTGTTGCTAAGCCTTTCGCCTTCCATTGATGTCCTTCGATCGTCTCTCATCTAGAACAGAAATAAATATATCAAGTATAAAGTAAAAAGGAAGAAAACAAAAATGCATAATTTTCCACGGAACGATTATACGCGCTTGTAAGTACGTGTCGAGCAATTAAACTGAGAATGTATTTTCATGGTAATTATTAAAGAAAAGTGAAAAGGTCATAAGAAAAAATTAAGCGGTTGTAGTAGGTGCTCCGTATTTTTACGTTATCATCATATGATAAATTTGTAGTAGCAAGGTAACATCTTTTTACAGAATACTACAATGTTTCATTCTATAAAATATTTAAGTAAAATCAGAATTTTAAACTTTACACGATTTATTCTATTTTATAAAAAAAGTAGAATTCACATTTTTTCTTGCACACTAATTTCGTATTACTTCGTTGATTTGAAATAATATTCGAGAAAACTTTGTTTTGAAATATTCCAATACCCTTGTAAATTTCTTATTAACAACAAGAACTTGATTAAATAAATTTCAAAATTTTGTATTAAAATATCCATTAACTTTTACTACTAAAATATGAATAACTGACGAATATAAATAGTTTAGGATTATGTAATTAACTCTTAATTAGCCAATTACACTTCACAATCTATCTGCACGTCATATTTCATGCGACTGACATTACCATCGTAAAAAAATTGTATCTAACTGCACTTGTTGCCCAAACTTCAACAAATTGACTATCCTCGAAGAACCACATAGTCTGTTGAATAATTAAACATTCGTTCAATTTAATTAGAACACACTGAAAAAAAAAGGAGAGAAACGAAATTGTGTTGCGCCTCTAACCTAGACCCGGACAATCTGGCCAGAGGTGCATAAATTCGCTTTCTAAGCCACGGTTATATTTATAAATCCTGCACATCGAGGAGAGAACACGCGTGTAAGCCACACCTGTTTAATCTGTTCGTACAAAAGAAAAATCCTTCTTTTCTTTCATTAGAGAAAAAAACCAGGAAAAGTAACCAAATTAACCCTAATGCGTTCTTTCATTCGATTATACACTTAATTCTTCATAGAAAAACATTTTTTTTACACACGGTTGGTAAACTGGGTCGTTTATGGTAAAACAAGTCTAATATTTTTTACTGTTCTAGGTTTCCAAAAAAATGTGAAAAAATTCTTACTACATTTGCGGTTATTCGTTAAGTCACGTTTTACAATAAAAATTTGTTTCGAAGAAATACGAGAGTGAAATTTCGCTTGGGTCGTTAGTGACCCAGATTGCCTACGGAGCATCGAGATTTTCGGGTAAAACAGAGCCGAATTTTTGTTACCAGCGCGTCATATAAATCTAGAGAATAAACTTTTATATATAATATTAAGATAATATCAAAAGTTATTAAAAAAATAAGAAGGCGATGGGTCAAAAAAGACCCCGAGCACAGTACTTGGATAGAAATTACCGACTGTACGAAGGAGAACGGAAGTATAATCCAGGAGAAAATTCCTTCTTTCTTGTATTCACATTTCCAATTTCGAATCGCGGTTTCAACGACGTGACGAACTCTTCAAACTTTCCACGTCGCCTTTCTTTTCGCGCGAATTTTCATTTTCGCGTCGGGGAAACAACCGGGAATTAATGGATTTCTGGAAATAACTCAAACCGACGTTCTCTCGTTCACAGCCTGCAGGCAGGCCGTTAAGCACGATTAACGAGAAAAATTTGCGCAATGAAGCGAACCAACGGGAGAATAAGCGATGTGTGGGTGAGGAACGGTGCCTCTTGTTGCCTTTTGTCTTCGTTCGTCCGTTCGTCGAAGGGTTCGTGTGCCGTTTTTGTTTCGCCGAAACGCGCACCCTCTTCGGGTATAATGCGTCACACACGTCGCGTAGAAGAAACGAAGCGAACAGGTTTTAATTTCATTTCCACTGAATTTGAAATACGATCCCCCTTTTTTCCCCTTTCTCGCTGTTTTTTAGATTTTATATATTCTTAAATATTTTAAATTTATTTGCCTTTCTTCGTGGCTCTGTCGTTAAAGAAATTCGTCGAAGGATCATCTCACGAAAATCAACCTTTACGAAATATTGTTTTTCAGAAAGTCTGCGGTTCGAGTTTCGAATTTTACAATAAAGCTAGATAAGATTCTATTGACAAGCTGCTTCGTGCATTTATCCGGGGATAAAAAATGTTTCTTAATATTGAGTTTATCGCTGTAACAGGTTTGATAGCTTCAAAGTTACACTTCGATCTTTCGATTTATATTTGCATATTTATCCAATATTTAAAAAAACGTGATTTATCAGTTAGATATTAAGGGGAATCGATTTTTCCTATGATTTCTATCGTGATTGGATGAGGATTAAATTGTTTCAAAATTGATTTATGTTAAGATTTTCTAAATTTTTTGTTGAACCAATAAGATTATCTTTCTTCGAGAAACATTTTAAAATAACATACAAAGTATAATTTAAAGAGATAAACAAATGGTATCGACAACTTGGATGTGTTTTATTTGAAAAGTATCAATGAAGATATGTATATGGTTTCAGAAGCGAGAATGAACATTTTTACACGAATCTCAACCTGTCTGTTTATTTGGTGCTTGTTTCTTTTTTTTTTCTTTTTTACTAATTTTGTATGTGGAAATATCTGTATTTAAAATATGTAAAAACTCCAAACATGTTGGAGCATGTTATTGTCATTTGTAATCTAAAAATACAGGTCCACTGTGATGTCTACCTTGAAGACTGTTTCATATATCTATCATTATTTTTATAGCCAAGGAACGTACAGCCTCGTTATTTAGCTTTCGTACACTTTCTAAACAGTTTCATTCTTCGTTCTCTTATGTTATATTAAAAGTACAATGCTAACATTGAATGTTCTTTGTGCGTCATATGAAACAATTCAAGATTAATTCATTGTTACAAAAATAAAAAAAAAAGAAATAGAAAATTCTACGTTGAATTTTCCTTGAGATACAGATCTACAAATGTTTCTTTTTAACACAAAATATACATTAGCAAATACCTGTTATAAAATAAAAAAGCACTTCACACAGAATCGAACCACTAAAAATAGAAAAAAAAAAGAAAAGGTTCTTCATGCGTCATATAAAACAATTTAAAATCAATTCATCACTAAAATAAAAAAAAAAAAAATAGAACGTTTTAAATAGAAGTTTACAAACTTCTATCGCAAAATATGCACAAAAATATATTCGTTATAAAATGTAAACCGAAAGATTTCAAAGAGCACTTCATACAGAATCAAACCACTAAAAATGAAAAAATAAAAAAATAGAACATTCTATATTAAATTTGAAAAAAAAAAAAAAAAATGCGAATTTACAAACTTTTATCGTAAAATATACACCAACAGATATCTATTATAAAATGCAAACCAAACGATCTCAAAAAACACTTCAAACAGAATCAAACTAGGAAATATAAAAAAAGTAGAACATTTTACCTTAAATTAAAAAAAAAACAAGTTTACAAACTTTTATCACAAAATGTATACAAGCGAATGCTTGTTGCAAAACGCAAAACGAAAGATTTCAAAGAGCACTTCAAACAGACTCAAACCGCTAAAAACCGAAAAAAGAAAAAATTTCTACTAATCACTTACTCGTCGCCTACGAACGTGCTTCTTCTTAGTTCTGTTCTTCATGTAACTCATCCACATCAGTGACATTCTCAAACGCTCTACGATACTACAACTATCTTCAAACAAGTAGTCAAACGTAGCAATCAAACTACTGGTACAATTACAAAACAGAATATCCTGTAGTACCCAAAAGAAAAATGGTACAATTATCCCACGTCCACTGTGTGCTTTCTCAATTGAAAAATTCGATCGAAAAAACGAAAAGGAAGAAACCGGAACAGGTTGAACCAAACACGAGCAAACACAGAAAAGGCGTTTCGAAACCGTCCGACTGAAACGGTACGAACGACAGCGAAGAACTGATGCCCACGGACAAACGTTCAGGAGACCGGTTCGCGGGTTAAAATGCCACGGCTCCTCCCTCTCTTCAATCGCGAGATCTTTTTTCTGCGCACGGAAAATCGGTTGCTCATTCATGAGCAAAATCGTTCGTCGGGGTTCGACCGTGCGTTTGTTTAAGAAAAAAAGGGAGACAGAGTGATTTTCTGCGTAGCATTTGGGGAATCTGCGTCACTCTCCTGGCTTTATTCGAATTTCTTTTATTCGCGCTTGAACATTCTCACGTGGAAGAATTCGATAGCCGGAGTTGCGTAAGTTCGGGAAGAGGAGTTTTAGTTTGATATACAGTCGGCCGCATAAGTGTTCGCCCACCTACCGCACTCAGTGTCTCTGTAGGTAAAAGTAGGAAAATATGCAGGTGAAATTTGAATAAAAAAAAATGCAGAAATGAAGCTTAATTTATACAAAGTAAGATGACATTTTGCGGGATTCATAATTGTTATACATGTATCATAATGTGGCGGGAACGCAAAAGTGTTCGTCCACGAATATTTATACTGAATAAGATGCTTAGTAGCGAACCAAACTTTAAAACAACTGAATGTTTTGTTAAACTTCTGCAATCGGCAACAGTTGATCTCAGACATCCAGAAAGAAAATATCGTAGTGATAATAATAATGAATTGTAAGAGACGTGAAAGATCGCTTTCTCAACGAGAATATATTGTAAGAGAAAATCAGTCAGGATAACGGTGGTGAGCGTTTGAATAAGATATAAACGTGGGTGGTTAAACAGAGTGAATGCTTGTATTTCGAACTATCCTGTACGAGTGCTGATACAATTCTATCTTTCCTGAAAAACCTAGTCAAGAGGACCCCCTTGACAATATGGCCTTTCTTAGCCTTGAGGCAGAACTATCCCTAGGAAGGGGAAACGCAGCAGAAGACTGCACATGGCCCACTCAAGCCTTCGCTTTTTGGACTTTTCTAACAATATTGTAAAATTTTGGAAAGAAGGAAAATCTGAAAGGGAAATTTCAGAATTAGTGGATATACCACGATCTACAGTACAGAAGTTTAAGGAAGACAGAACAATTG